TGAATCTGATAAATGACTTCCAAAGAGAATATTTAACTTTTATATGAAGACCTTGACTGAGATTTTCAATTATTTCTATAAACTGTGTTCAAAGAGCTGAGCTGTGAATGCACTATGACTAAGGAAACTGAGGCAGCTTCACACAATGTCACAAAGATGACCTGTATGTTAGAGGGATGCGGTTTCATAGAGCCCAGTCATTGTCACAATCCTGTACATTGTCTTAGGAACTTAAAGTTTGTAGGTGCTTTAGGTGGAGATTCGGGGAACCAGGCCATGAATTAAGACTGGGCTTCCCTCCTTCACCCTTTGGTTTTGTTTTGGTGTGTGTGTGTGTGTATGTGTGTGTGTTTAAAAAAGGAAAAGCCCTGGCACAACATGAGACAAGGAATTTCCCAATGATGCCTATGAGTTTGTTTTCTGTTGGCCATCTATTGATGGACATAAAGCATTCCCTTAAGAGTTGTTTGTTTTCCCAGTGAGACTCCCTAGGAGAAAACTCTGTTTTCATTTGCAAGTGGTTATCAGTTGGAGATTACTTCTGGGTTGGGGTGGAGACATGTTTCCATTTCTCTTTCAGCTCCCAAACCCCATCTGGTGTGGATCTGTATAAGCCTTTTGCATATTGCCTCAGCACTGAGCTCATCTGCATCTAGTGCATTTAGAAGGCTTTGTTTTCTGTATCCTCCATTCTCTGTATCTCTTGCACTCTTTCTGCTTCCACTTCCTTGGAGTTCCCCATTCCCTGAGGGGAAGAATTTGATGGAGACATCCCCTGAGGCTGAGTGTTCCAAGTCTCTTTTCTGTCACTCTCAGCAGAATGTCTGTGGGTCTTCACATTTGTTCCCATTTGATGCAGGAGCTTCTCTGATGGTGTTTCCAGTGCCTAAGGAAACTGAGGCAGCTTCACACAATGTCACAAAGATGCCCTGTATATTAGAGGGATGTGGTTTCATAGAGCCCAGTCATTGTCACAATCCTGTACATTGTCTTAGGAACTTAAGGTTTGTAGGTGCTTTAGGTGGAGATTCGGGGAACTCTTCGGCACTCTGAAACAAGGTGCTGACTGATCTTTGAGTATAGCAAAAGGTCATTATTTTCATTTATTTTATTTTAATTTTTTAGAACAGTAGTGTTTGACTTTACCCTAGATCCCTGAGCTATCTAATCTCCCATAGGTGTTCCATCTCATAGAGTAGACCTTAAGTCAAATTGGGTATTGGTTGGTTACACCCACAGACTTTATGCCACCATTGCACTAGCATACCTTGTAGCAGGACACCATTGTGGATCAAAGGGATTGTGACTAGGTTGGTGCTTATATTTCTCCTCTGGTAGCATGCAGATTAGCTTCCCTAGTGAGGAGGGACAACAGCAGGTAATCTGCTACTGTCTAGGGATAAGACTGGGGGATTGGATTTAGAGGAGGAGTAGAGATCTGAAGCTCGCCTGCCTGCTTCACTGGCCTGCTTCTTCCATTTTCAGGCTTGGCTGGCAGGTTAACAGGGAATGCCTGCTGAAGTTGGGGGCGGGAAGAAAGGATGAGTGAAGGGAGGGAAGTTCAGAGGGAAGGAATAGAGGTGTGATCCACTAGAGATGAGGGCAGACGCTGCAACATGTGGTCTGCTACAGAGCTGGGGATAAGACTGGGGCATGATTCCGGAGGGGTAAAGGGAGGGATGGAGATCTGCAGTTAGCCTACCTACTTCCCTTGGGGATTGTAGGGTTTCTGGGGGGAGGGGGTTTCTTCTGTTGTTTCATATAAATGGAATTTGTGTTGTGTTCTTGAGTAAATGAATTGCCTTTCATACTGTTCAGTGGGACAAGATTGTTTGCTTATAGGTATTTGGTTGGGATATTAGAGAGATTGGGGAATTACTATTCAGTTACAATTTTTGAAATTGTTAAGAAGGTATTCAGCTGTTTGGGACAAATATCTCTTTGGAAGTATGGGGGGTTTATTTGTGGGTTTTCATAGAACCGTCCCTGATACTGTTGTCCCTCAGTTCATACAGGGCATTGATAACAGGTTCCCTAAGAGCTGCGACACCTGCAGCTGTCCCAGTTCTTCATACAAAATAGTGTAATACTTCACATAGCCTACACAGAGGGTCCCTTTACTTTTAAATATCATCCCTTTACTTTTAAATATCATTCATAGATTGAACAGATACTTCCTAAATGTAGATGTTACATAACGAGCTGTTAGGCCTTTTTCTTTAGGGAATAATGACATGAAAATGTATATCTGCCCATGTTCATTCAGTACAGACTGAATTTTTCAAAATTCACTGCTCTTAATTGATGTACCTATAGACATGGAATGTAGGAAACAGAGGCCTGACCATATTCTTGTGGCTTACTTTCTCATTTGATTTAGTTCTCTGTTCAAATGTAACAGCTTTTAAAAGATTTCTATAACAATTAGGAGAGAAATATTTAATTACTGTCCTTTTAATACTGTGTGGATGTTCTTAAGGTTTTCTTCTGAATAAGATCAAATTGGTGTAATACAAATTTAACTTGTTCTAAAAGTGCCAAGAATAAATTGAGGAAAAAAATAATAGGTTCAGAGTCAGATTGGCAGTCGCTTAAACAAGACACAGGGATAATTGTTTCAGTCCAAAGGTGACAATTACATTTGGTATGGGAGTTGTCCATTATAAACAGCTTTAGAGACTCCCAACTCTGCCATTCCATTATCTTGTTTCCATTGTTGTAGTTGGTCCACCACAATCATCACATTCAGCTAGAGAAAGAATGGAAGGAGGAAAAGAATATGTCCACCACATTTAGCATAAGAGTTTGCATCCATTGTTTTTACACACATCCAATGAGCCAAAGCCTAGTCCTGTAGCTAGCTTTTCTAGTAACTCTGTGGAAAACTGGAAACCTCAGTTTAGTTTCAACAGTTAGACCCCTTCTGAGAACAAATAACAAGGAGAGGATGCAATTAGCTTTTGTTTGGTGAGTGTTTTATTCTAACCATACTACATAACATAGTATACTGCTCTCCAGTACTTCACTCTTTGCAGAAATATCTGGCTATCTATGGTAATTCTTTCATTAAGCAAGAAATTATGTCTCAGTCAAGTCCTAAAATCTACAGCAAGACTCAATCAGCTTTTTAGGTAATCTTAAAAATAGCTATGGCCCAAGGACCCTATAGTCTGGGTAGGTTTCAGGGCTATACAAATCCTATGTAATTGCAAGTGAGATAGATTGTGAATGTGGATTGAATGTTAGCTTGATAGTTTAAAGCCTGGACTCTGGAGTCGGACTGCCCATTCGAGATTGTGTAAATCATTGTGTTTTCTTAACTTGCTTCTGCCCAGTTTCCCTATCTGAAACAGAGGGATAATAGTATACCTACTTCATAGAACTTCTGTAGAGACCAAACTGTAGTTGTCCTGACCCACAGGACAGCAACCTAGAGCAAAAAGTCCAGGGAGGGGAATGGGGACAAGAGACTCGAGAGAATGACCACAAGACAGGATTCTGATCAAGTGGCGAATTTTATTTTTTTCAGGCTAGTTTATATAGTCAGTAGTATGGAGTAAACGGGAGGGGGAGAAGAGGCCAAGAGCCAGGTGTTAGTTCAAGCAGGATGTTAGAAAACTTTAGGAAGAGCATGTTGGCAGGGTGAAAAGTTCATGGGTGGTGGGGAGAGGGAAGGTTACCTAGGTGAATGGTGGGAAGAAGGAAGGTTGCTTAGGTAAGTGGTGGGATGTGGGAGGTTTGCTTAGGTAAGTGGGCTTGTGGTTGGACCAAAGGATTGACGTCTGGGTCATGTTGTTCCTTCCGAGTGCTCATGCTTCTAGAAGCCATTTATAATCAAAAGACAGTTCTATAACTATGTGGCTTGCCAAGTTTGACCTAAAGGTTCATGCCAAGCTATATGGCTCCCAACACTAAACCAAATTAGTACAGTTAAAGTACTTGGCATAGTATTTCACAATATTGAATACCATATCAACATTAGAATCAATATTAAAATTATGAGTACCCAATTCTGAAGGCAGGGAACGAGTCAGGCTTCAAATTTGTCTTTTGGTAGGGTATATTATAAATTTTAATATAATACTTCAATGATGTATGGTCTGCATAAAATTTAATCTTTATCTCTGTTAATCAAAAGTGACCCATAGTACAGTTTTTTTCTTAGTAGAATATACCTCAGTTGCATTTTCTTTTCAGGATTTTTTCAAGATTGTATGTTTTTCTTAATCTAACAGCAATGTGTATTTATCTTAATTTCAATTATTTGTCATAATTTTAATAACATTGATATCTGTTTCTGAGACCTCAATTTAAAATTTAAATGGTTTCTTTGCCTTCCCAAGAGCATATTTGATTTAATATTTCCATGTAAGGTGTTTGAACACTGGCAAATTGTGTAAGTCTGAATTATGATTTTTGTTGTCATTATTTGAATCATAAGTACAGTTGAGCCAAATGGGATTGCAACAGAAAAACGTTACAGTTCCTTAAAACAATGAAAACACTGAGTCCATACAGCTGCTTCACTCCAGAGGAGTGGTCACAGTGACAAGAGAGACGGTGCTTCAGTATTGTAAGGGATGAACTTATACTCTCTTTAACAAAGTGACAGCTGTTATATTTTCTTTTTCATTTTAGAACGTTAGGTCAGCAGTAAATGTCCAGTATGTTATTAGTGGTCTCTTATGGTTACACTAAACAGGAAGGCTGTTAAATTTAAGTTGTTTTTGCTAAATCTTACATAAGTAGTTTTTGGCAAATTGGCTAATATCATATCTGGAGCTTAAACACAAGGTAGCTGTTGCCGAATAAGCATATTTGATAACATCTACAAGCTGTCAGTTAACAAACTGGAATGTACTCTTAAGCATCTTGTCACCACCTCATCTTCATCACTGTTTGACTTCCTCAATGACTGATTTGCTTTCTCAATAGATTATTTATTGTAACTGGAAGAAGAAGAATTTTATTTGACTAATCCTTATTTTTCCCATCTGCAGAGTATGCTCAAGAAAACTGGGGATTTCCAATGTGCCGTTATCTGAAAGAGGAGAGATGGTGTTGTGGCCGTAATGCAAGAATGTCAGCATGCTTGGTATGGCTTTGTGTTCTAGAAAACATGAGAACTTTACCCAGATGCTATGTAGTTCTTTATTTTTAGCTAGATTATGTTAAATGCCAAATTTTAACAAAGCATCCCATTAATGTTTTTTAACATTCTGATTTGTAAAAAAGTAATGATAAAGATATTCAGTCATCCATTTTACATGCAGCATCATAGAAAAGTTCACATGTGGTTGTTTCACTTATAATATAAAATATATCAACTGCCACGTCTTAAACACAGAATCAGTTCAGTACTTTATACATAGCTTAGTAGTATCTTTGTATATTTGTAACACTCACTTCACCTTCTAATTTTCTTATAGGATAGAAAACTATTAAGCTGTGAGATATGAAGTAACTAGTCAAAAATTTTGTTTTGTTTGATTTGACTGGTGTTCCTAAATGTAGAACACTTTAGGCCTTGGAATTCTTTGTTGATGATACCATGTTAGTTGACAAAAGAGCAGGCTAAATATTACAGGTGAATAATAATCATCGGAAAGCTTAAATGTTGTAGTTAGTTTGGAAGAATAAATATGGAAAACTAAATTATAGAACAAGACCATAATTAATATTGTATTATGTACATAAATATTCTGGTGATACATACACTTGAAAAGAAAATGATAATGGAAATATGAAATTGCTTACCTGTGTTGATGATTTTACTATGTATATGCAGGCACCACTACATATTGGTTTACTTAAACATAGAGTAACTTTTTTAAAAATAAAATACAGTTCATTGAACAATTTTTTACTGTCCAATCTTAGATAAATGAATTCTTTCAAAGCCCATCGTTTCTAAGTTACTGGTCTACTACTATGTGCTGCAGAGAGTTTGTGTCCTTGGAATAGCTTAGAAATGTATTTGTTCTCAAATAACCTTTTTCTTATATAGCACACTTAATGGACTTCCCTAGAAATTTCTCCTCTTCCCTCATGTCATGTGTGAATGAAACATGCTCAGAAGATTGTCAGAGAGTGACTCTTAGAATGTCACGATCGTGGAACACTGCTAGCCAGGCAAAACATTGAAATAGACTTTTTAGGGGAGTTAACTTGATGTACATTTGTTCTGTAATATTCACTGAAGCATACACCCCCCGAGGCCATGCCCATCTGTATGGCATGAAGAAAAAAGATAAAGATAAAGGGTCAAAGAACAAGATTCAACTCATGATCAATTGCTAACTAGCCACACAGTGTCTGGAAAGCTACTGATCATGCCAGTGATCTTATACACGTCTAAAAAGGCATTCAAAAAACATAGTCTATAGATTACATTTTAATTCAAAAAATGTTTGTTTCAGCTATCACTTACAAAACCTATTTATGGAATCCTAGAAACCTGAGGCATACGAAGATCAATTATTCTGTATCTACCTTATGTTTGGAGTGTTTCCAAATTAAAATTTAAAAACATAATTTTAGTTAAATACTTAATATCCAATAAATGTGGAAATGTACATCTAAGAAATGAAGAAATTTGTAAAGGCCTATCCCATTTATAAATTATATAGTAAATAGCATATGTTCACTATGATTATTAGAAATGTTAGGAAATACAATATAAAATGTATGTGTTCTTAAGTTTAAATGTAAAATCAATACTGTATAATTATAGAAGTCTGCTATAGTGTTCTATTAGTTACATTTTTGTCACTGTCACTATACACTATAGTACCTAACAATAGCAGTGTAAGAAAGCTTTATGTGCCTTCCAGTCTCAGTGGTCTAAATTCACTTTGGCAGGGAAGGCATGGTGAGGCAGCCCAGTTCATGGCAGTGAGGGCATAGTGTGTACACCACCACATAGTAGGAAGCAGGAGCAATCATGATACCACTAGTAACCAGTTCCTACCACTAGTGATCAGTTCCCCCCAGCTACATTGTCTCTTTTCTTTTTCTTTGTTTTTTGTTTTTGTTTTTGTTTTTGTTTTTTGAGACAGGGTTTCTCTGTGGCTTTGGAGGCTTCCAGGAACTAGCTCTTGTAGACTAGGCTGGTCTCGAACTCACAGAGATCTGTTTGCCTCTGCCTTCCAAGCGCTGGGACTAAAGGTGTGAGCAACCACCACCCGGCTAGACTATCTCTTAAATGTTCTACAGCCCCCCCCCCAATAGCGCCAGCACCCAACAAGCATTCAAAAGACATGGAAACACTGTATGCTTTAGCAAGTTCCATTTCCTGTCATGCAGGATCAGATGAAAATAGGCTTTGAATTCATACAACATGCAGATTATATTATCCCTAAAATACTCTTCCACCTACAGTCTGTTCATATTTGCTTGCTAAAAGATGAAATTAAGAGATTGGGAGGTGGAGTACTGATAGAGCACCTGTACAAGAACCTGGGTTTAGTTCCTGACACTGGAGTAAAATCAAAAAGATGAAATTACATGTCCCATCAACTGAAAGATGTTAGGAAGTTTATAAACACGTCTATGTCTATATCATACAGGGCAGCCTTACTGAACATGAGTCAGACTGTCGTCTTTGTTTTTTGGTGCTTTCTAATTCTTTCTGCACTATTCATATAGTGTATAACCAGAATGTGATTGTGTTTTTGTATATGACACTTTTCCATTATAAATTGGTCCTAATTTATATACATATGAGCTAACATTCTTTAGTAATATTGATACTTTTAACTATCTAAACTTACATGTTATCACTTAATTAATCATTTTGATTGTCACTATTGCAGATTCTTACAGAGCAGGTTTGTAAACCTCATAAGACTAAATATGTTAGCAATCTTTGTCTTGTTTCTTTTTTCTTTTAAGGCATTGGAACGGGTTGCAGTTGGCCAAGGGGTAAGTGAGAGTGTTTAATGTAGCTGATGAACAAAATAGTTTTTCTCTCAAGCCCTCTTCAGACTTGACCTGCTGTTGAACTTGAAACCTGATGGATTTTAATAAATATCACCTCTGCTTGTCACCGCTGCTCATGCAAGTGTATACATGCTCTGTGTGTTTAAAGTGAACTTTCAGAACGAAACATTGAGGTTGGAAGAAAGTTTCCACATTATGCCCTTCTACCAACCTTTCATTTCTTCATATTGTATTAACAATCTGTAAGTATTCCTAACAAACATTGTAGCTGACCATCAGGCTTTTATGGGGTCAGTTCAAGCAAGGAAAAAAGGCATAATATACAATGTATTACTTCAGTGTAATCTAAAACATGTTTCATTTGGTTATTTGATACCTTTTTCAATTTAATTAGTCTTTAGTTGAAATAACTAAACAGGCTTGCAAGTATAAATACAAATTTGATACATCCTAAATACCCATACAGTGTATTATCTTTTACAGTGTATTCATGAAACTTACGAATTTTGAAAAGCAAGTTTGAACATTTTCATAAAATTATCCTGTTGAACCTAAATTTAAAAAAATCTATTGTTTCTTTTTTCAAGGAACATTAATATTAATTTTTTAATAATAATTGCAATAACAAGTATCACTTCCTCTAGGCCAGTTACTTTGATAAGTACTTTGATAAGTACTGGTTAGCAGTTGCCTTCCCTCCCCCCCCCCCGTATTAATTTTGCTTATCTAAGGTGTCTCATGGTGAACAAAGTAAATGAAACAGGTAAAATGTTTAAAATGAATAGTAAATGTCAAATGTCAACAGTTGCCAGGCAGTGGTGGTACATGCCTTCTTTAATCCCAGCACTTAGGAGGCAGAGGCAGAGGTAGGTGGATCTCTGTGAGTTCAAGGCTAGCCTGGTCTATAGAGTGAGTTCCAGGATAGCCAGGGCTGTTACACAGAGAAACCCTGTCTCAAAAAACAAAACAACAACAAAAAAGTCAACCCTTTGTAATTTAAAAAAAATCGGCATGAGAAAGAAAGATGCCATGTGACAGAGTTCAAGTAGAGGGCTTTTTAATTAGGCAAAGGGATCATAAAAAAAAGGGGGGGAGGGGGAGGGGGGAGACCAACCTCCAGGGACAGGAGCAGGAGAGAGGGAAAAGGCAGAGAGGAAGACAGAGACAAAGACAGACAGAGAGACAGGGAAAGAGAAGAGTGTGGGAGGTGGGCAGGGCCCTTTTAAAAGGGAACATGGTGAATGTGCACAGGTGGTGCTCTTAGGGCTGCAGCTGAGGACGTATCCTGTCAGAAGCCCAAGGGCTGGCCAGTACAGATGCCTGAGCACTAACAGAACTGTCTTCAACAATAATTATTACTATCTTAAAAATAATAATTAAGTCCTTTTACAAAGTTGTGTTGAAACTTCTTATCATTTGTGGTAATGAATACATAGAATTTTTAGTTATTTATGACTGTTATGCCCTGAGATGCAGGAGGCAGCTGTAAGATAACAAATTCTAGAATTTCAATCTCTATTTCCCACTAGATGTCCTTAACATCCATAGTACATGCTTCCTTAATGGTTCCCTAGGGCCCTGGGAAAGTGAGAAGCCTTGATCATGTTGGTATCCACTAATGTGGATTTGCTTTTTAAGTTTTCCAAGATTTTGCCCATGCTTCCATTCAGTCTGAGTAGTTGGATATTTTTTTTAGCCTAACCTAAGTACATGATATGCAGCAGGAGTTTAATGATACAGTCTAGCTCCCAAAATTGATTGCAGAACCATGACTTGTAGCTTGTACCCTTTGCCATAGTCCTGTATATCACATACATAATCCATGCATCAGTGATACACTGTTTTTTCCTGGTTTTAAAGTACACTAAAAGTGTTAAGTGGCTTTATCACTCGAAAGGGAAGGAAAATCAATTCTCAGCCCCACCCAGTTTACTCCTAGAACAGTCAGGCACCGGGAATAGGGTTGTCTTCCTCCCTTCCTCCCCGCTGTATTCACCAGGATGGATCAACCTAGTTATTCCAAGAATGAGCATTTGAAGGCACTTCATAATTCACATCCCTTTCTCTTAGGAAACAACCACTAAGCTTTAATTTGCTCAGATAACTAAGATAACTCAGTTTATAAAGTGCTTGCTTTGCAAGCCAGATAACCTGAATTCAAACCCCTTGTTAAAAAGTAGGTATGGCCGGGCGTTGGTGGCGCACGCCTTTAATCCCAGCACTTGGGAGGCAAAGCCAGGCAGATCTCTGTGAGTTCGAGGCCAGCCTGGTCTCCAGAGCGAGTGCCAGGATATGCTCCAAAACTACACAGAGAAACCCTGTCTCAAAAAACAAAACAACAACAACAAAAAAAATAGTGTATGACAGCCAGCACTTGTAATCCCAGCCCTGGGATGGCAGAGACAGCCCCTGGCACTTGCCAACTAGCCAGCCCAGTCTACTTAGTGAGCTCTAAACTGGCAAGAGACTGTGTTTTGACAGAAAGATAGACATGGGCCGTTCCTGTGGAGAAACACCCTAGCTTGCCTGCTGCATATATGCACACAGATTCACACAAGAACACAATATGCATCCAGAGAAAATAAATTAAAATTCAATCTGTCACTTCAAGAAGAACAGAGTTCGAAAAGACTAAGTCAGTAAAATATTCATCCCACTGAAATCTATCCTTAAAACTGGACCAGGCATTGGGCAGTTAATTTTATCTTATTTGCCATCTCAAAAGCATATATAAATGCTTTTTAAAATAATTATTTTGCATGAATGCTGCCTTATTGCTAGGATTATTTTTACTTTATTTCTGAAGTGTCAGTAGCATGAACTCTCTTGAGGTAAAGTGACATTTTGGTGGCTTTTGTAGTTTTTTATGTTCAGTTTCCAGTGCCCATATTAGACTGCTCACAGCCACCTATAACTCTAGCTCCAGGGTTTTCAACACCTCAGGGCCTCTGTGGTCATGTGTACACATGCCTGAATGCAGACACACACGTGCAAATAATTTAAAAAATAAAATAAAACGTGGGGAAAAATACTTGGACCATTCATAAGACACTTCTGTTTTTCTCAGCAAAGCAGTGTCTTCAGTTTCCTTTGTCCTTTTTAACTCTACTCTTCAACTCTGTCGTGCTGTGATCTTTCATACTTTGGACATATTATTTAAAACATCTCACATAGGTATTGTCTTTCACAGTGTGAATGCTGAGTTTTATTGCTAGTCCATTCCCATTAGGAAAGGGCCTCACAATGTTCTCTTTCACACATGTCCTTCCTGACTCTGCTGGACTTCAGAAATGATATGGATGGACTCTAAAGTTTATATATACCCTCTTAGCTGATAAGTAATCCATTTGGAGCAACAGCTTATTTTTTTATTATTACTTTTATTCCCCATCTACTGATTATTCCTCTTATGGTTTCTCATTTTAGAATTACTTTCTCAGTGAGAATTAGTCTCAGGGTAATCCCTTAATTTACAGTGGAAAAACTATAAAAATCCTACTCTTTGTTTAACAACAAAGTCAAGTTATAACATTTATGAGTTCCCAAGTCTTTAGTATTAATTTTGTTTCTGAGTTTCATTTATTTATTATTCCTATATACATATCTGCGTATTTTTTTTCAGCTTCCCACCGAATCACTCTTCTATCGTGCTGTTCTTCAGAATATCATTAAAGATTATTATGGCATCACCAAATGGTATGAGAATTTTACTTTGTAATTATGCTGGGACCTAAAGGTAGATAGTTTTCCTAGGACATGAAATACCTTTACTTCAATGGCAAGCAACCAAATAACGAACAGATAAATACCTGTATTATATTGTTAGATAAGTGAATTTTTAATATTTTGGGTAAATTTATAAAGGACAAATTATAATTAGTTTTTGTTCATGTATGTTTTGAAAAAACATTTTTTTTCCGAGAGAGAACATGGCATTTATTAATAATTACTCAAGGATAATCAGTGTGGCCAAGAATTGGCCCAAACAAAGAGAAACAGGGATGTCCCTAATTTTGGTACATTTCATCATCTGTAACATTGGAATAATAATGCAGCCTTGGTGGTTTTCTGGAAGCAGAAAATGTGACCGTGAAAGTAAAGCAAGTGTGTGGCAGTCAGTTGGAAGTGAGTCAGTGGTGGTCCCTTCATTAGTACAAGCACCTTGCTAACTCTGGGAGCCCATCCCACATGGAGGGATACTCCCTGAGCCTAGACACAAGGGGGTTGGCCTAGACCCTATCCCAAAGAATATGACAG